GGGACACTGGTGCCACCCCCGGTCACACGCGGTTGGGGCACAGGCCACGTGCAGGGAACCACGGGAGGGAAGTCTCCTGCCCAGGAAGTCAGTGTGTTATTCCCAACGCCAGCTTGTATCTTCCCAGCAGATTCCCTGCGCGGGTCTGACCCCGGCTCCCCCCGGACGAGCCCGGCTCGGCAGGAAAAAGGCTGTTTTTCACAGGGTACTTACAGTGGTGCAGAACCTCCATCATCATCTTCCCGTTCGGGGCGGCACAGGAGGAGAGAACAAAGAGTGTCAGGGAACAGCATGTAAAAATCCTCCTCCAACACCCCAGGGACTGCCATTCCAGCCAGGTTACGGGATAGCCGGGATACTACTGCCTGCACAGGACTGGACCCAGGCCGTCGCACCCGCAGGGCTCCGGTTTCACCGGGGGCTGGCAGAGCCGGGGCTCCTTCGCACCAGAACATCCCCCCAACTCCCCACGAGCCGCCTCGTGCCTCAAGCTCGGACAAGGCACCGACCTCGACACGGGCTCCCGTCACGCACCTGGCCACGGGCTCCCGTGACGCAGCTGCCTGTCGGCACAGGGTGGGCCTGGCCCGACGGATGGCCAAGTCACCCCCCACCCACCCTGGGGTCTGGCACCTCATCAACCCCAAGACCACCCTGGGAGGCCAGAGAATTACACAGGGAAGCGTCCAGGGAGGCTCTGAAGCAGCACTTCTGGCTGGTACTGCCCCTTTAAGAGCTGCACCCTGTGTATCCCTGGAATACTGTGGCCACTCCAGCACTGGGACAGGGAGCCCAGCCGGCTGCCGCTGATCTACCCGCTGCGCCGATCCGGGAGGCTCCCAGACCTGAAGGCAGGCAAGTAAAGGGAATCCAAACAGGGTGTTTCAGGGATGAGGCTTTAGGCAGCAGCAGCACACCCTCCTTCCTCCCCACAGGCTGTGAAACCACACCAAACACACTGCACACCACGTTCTGGCTACACCGAGAAGCACAGCTACGGACAGGTCTCTGCCAACACGTGCCAAGCCCTGGGGCCTTTCACCAGCTCCTTGCAATCCTCGGCTTTCCGAGAGAAGGCTCTCCCGTCCTCTCGGCAGCCCAGGCTCCCCCCCGAGCGAGACCCTCGCTCTCAGCACTGGGACTGCCTTGGGCACCCAAATCTGCACCCAGCTGGTGAGAGGACAGACCAGCAACGTGCCAGAACCATCTTCTACTTACCGTGAGGAGAGAAGGAAAGAGCGGAAAGATAACACCAGCAAGGACATCACACCGTAGACAGGCCACTCTCCCCATCCCAGGTAATGGAGCACCCAATCCACAACCACGAGGAAAAGCATTCCTTGTGGAACTGGCTCCGCAGTGCCTTACTCTCACCTCCTCCCGAGAGGGGCAAAGTACAAAGACCTCTGTGGAGGAGAACCGCTTCACCCCAGAGAAGCGTAACGCCGCGCGTCCGTCCCACGGGTGTGACGCCGACCTCACCTCACCTCCCGAGAGTCTGTGACACTCGGGAACCTGAGCTCTGGCCAAGGAGCACCAGGACACTCTGTACACCCCCCATCTCCATCTGCTGCAGCTCCGACAGGTCAGTGCTCAGCAGGACCCGGGCCGGGGCGATGTCGGCAGAGCCGGAGCACGCGCAGGCCATGGGGTGGGTTTGCTGGGAGATGCAGCCACAACACCCTCAGGCGACACCGACCTCGCAGCCAAGAGTGACAGAGGGCAAAGCACCTGCTGAGACCGCCCTGAGTAGGGCTCCCCACGCCCCGGAGGTGGGGAGGGATATTTGGCATTAGTTTAGCGCTTCACCCTGCGCACACTCAGGCTCCCTGACGTGCTGTTCCCTAGCAGAGGGCTCCGGACCAGCAAGCAGGAAGGATGCGGAGCACGTAGACTTCATTGTTAACGGGATCAGATAAGGGAGAGGCGCTGCGCTAGCACAATGCAGATCCTCACCGATAAGGAAAGGGAGGAGCCGATGCTTCCAGAACAGATTAAAGATAACGCTAGGCTTTGAGGGGTCAGGATGTGTGGATCTGAGGGACCCAAAGGAGATCCGTGGGCTGAACCTAAGCCTGGTCTTAAGGAGCCACTGACACAGTCCCTGGATTTCACAGCACAGCTCTACCACCTCGTCACAGACCAGCTTCTCCAGCGTCACCTGCCAAAGAAAACCCCGTCCCAGAGACGCTCACGTGAAGCGCGTGAGCAAAGCGCAGGGGAATGGCGAGACAAAGGGTCGGGCTGCCCTGCCCCGAACCTCATCTCGCTCCAGATCCAGAGTGCAGTTACGTACAGCTCCATGGCTACAGCAGCCTGGAAAGGACTACCACGTGCCCCGAGAGGCAGCCCCCAAATTAACACCCATCTGACACAGGGAACTCCCGCTTCTCCATGAGATTTTGCCTGTACCCTCCCCCCAGTTAGCTGGTCTCTCCAGGAAGATTGCACCCCCAGGCAACTCTTACCATCCAGAACCTCATCGGGCTTCCTCCTCTTCTCGTAGATGAAGATGATGGTGACGAGGACAAGGACTTCTGCCACGATGCCCAGGAAGGGCCAGAGAGCTGCCAGGCGGCTGCGCACGCGCAGGTTCACGGTAGCGCCGCCGGTGCCGGCGTCGTTGGTGGCGTTGCAGTGGTAGTCACCCGTATCCTCCTCGATGTTCAGCTTGAGGATGCGTAACTCCGTCTTGTTGCCGCTGGACTTGATAATGTACCGACCGGAACCATTGGTGATGGCCTGCAGGGAGGAGAGAGAGCTCCCAGGGATGAGGGGGGCTGCCCACTTCCCACCGCCCTACCCCCACAGGAGTCCTGGGGGGGCTCCTCTGCAATAGCTAACTGATGGGATGGGGTCTTCCCCCTCTTTGCCAGGAAGCAGGACGGGCAGAAGGACCCTCAACCCACAGCACTTACCTCTTGACTCTTTTTGTACCAGACCCAAGTCTTGACGGGGGGGAAGGAGGGATTCTTGCAGGTCAGCACGCCCGTGTCCCCCTCGTTCCCGTGCTCGGACTTCTTGTATGCCATCACCTGGGGGGCAACTACAACCAGAGGCAGAGAAGCAGACATCCCGTTACAGGGAGTTTCCCTGCAGCTCACCTCGCCAGAACCAAAAAGTGGGTCTATTCCCCCGCTCTTGCCCCTTGTTTGGTGTTTTCGGAGGGGAAAGCACATCAAGCTGCTGCTGGGAAGGCTCAGGCAGATTTGTCCACCAGCTGTTATCCCTTTCCCGTTATTCTGCTGGGAAGATGCCCACGGCAGAGGCGGATTTAATGCCAGGCCCAAGAGACACTTCAGCTGCCTGGTCAACCAGCGCGGCCCAGGGCACGCCTGGCAGCAGCCATGTGGAGTCCTGCAGCTCCAGGGATAAGGGCTGGAAGCAGCTTTCCCAAAGCTGAGGAGGTACCAAACCAAAGCCCTGAGGAGATCGCAGCTTCTCCTCTTCCCTCCTCACACCCCGAACCAGACACGGGAAGTTACCTGAAACAGTCACTTGGCCTTTTATCACCGGGCTCGTTTTGTAGACACATTCATAGACGCCAGAGTGATCTTCCATCTTCCCCTCAATCCTACCAAAAACCAGGATGCCAGATAAGCATTCAGCACGGCTGATGGCCCACAGACACCCCAACCCAGAGCAGCCGACGTCTGTAAGCATCGGCAGGCTCCTCCAGAGGCAATTTCTCCCGCTCCAGCGCCGGTATTTCCACTGCACCAGGCACCTCCTGCAGGCCAGCGCTCCTCGCACACGGAGGATGGTTTCATACACGGAATCTGACACAGACCCACCAAGTCAGCAGTCACTGAGACACCTGGGTCCTGAAATCCCATTAAAAACCACAATAAACCCAATTCTACTGAGGAAAGCCAGGAGAATGGGAAGTGCACGAGAGCCGTCTGGTTCGCAGGGCCACACGCCTCAGGCAGGACCCCAGCTCTGCGGCTCACCGCTGAAGGAGGGGGGCAAGGAGCTTGGGAGAACACACTGAGGAAGGCTCTTCCTGCCTGGAGAAATCCCATGAAACACACGGCAAAGCAACAACCCAGGCTGGGTTACTCCGGACCGATCCGAGCGCAGGGAGAACTCTCCCGTTTTCCTTTTTGCAGCAGCCTCACAATGAGATTTAGTGGATTACGCCTCACCGCGAGGTCTCGTTCTGCAGCTCAGCGATACCCACTCGGGGGAAGGGGCAAAGTTTCAGTCCCGTGGCTGCACCAGGACAACGGGCTGTTTGTCAGTTCTGCTGTGCACGGCGCTTCCCGCTTCCAAAAACCACTCAGCTGAGGAATTGAGGTCACGCGAGGGAGGCTGGGTTATAAATACTTTAATCCTTGTTCAGCTCCCTGTTGCTATGGGGAGACAGGCACGTCGGCACTGCCACACAAAAGGACACGATGGCTCTGCAGCTCTGGGTCGGTGCCAGCCAGGCCCAGCCGTAACGGAACGGGAAAGCTCCCTGCACTGCCACAGTAAGGCTGGTATTCCCACTTCTGCTCAGCTGTGCCCTGCGAACCACTTCCAAGCGCCGACCACCACCTGGAACTTCCCGGTGTGTTCTGGAGGAACGGCTGGACTTTGGAGAGGTCACAGGATGGTTTGGGTTGAAGGGACCTTAAAGGCCCCTCCAGTCCCACCCCCTGCCATGGGCAGGGACACCTTCCATAGACCAGGTTGCTCCAAGCCTCATCCAGCCTGGCCTTGGACACTCCCAGGGATGGGACATCCACAGCTTCTCTGCGAACCTGTCCCAGTGCTCCCACCCTCTGAGGGAAGAATTCCTTCCTGATGTCCCATCTCCATCTCCCTCTTTCCATTTAAACCCGTTACTCCTTGTCCTGTCCCTCCCTGCCCTTGGGAAAAGCCCCCCCAGCTTCCTTGTAGCCCCCCAGGCACTGGAAGGGGCTCTAAGGTCTCCCCGGAGCTTCCCTTCTCCAGGCTGAACCCCCCAGCTCCCCCAGCCTGTCCCCATGGCAGAGGGGCTCCAGCCCTCGGAGCATCTCCGGGGCCTCCTCTGGCCTCGCTCCAACAGCTCCGTGTCCTCCTGCTGTTGGGGCCCAGAGCTGGAGCAGAACTGCAGGGGGGTCTCCCCAGAGCAGAGCAGAGGGGCAGAATCCCCTCCCTCGCCCCCCCTGGCCACGCTGCTCTGGATCCAGCCCAGGATGGGGTTGGCTTTCAGAGGTACATAAACCCTGGAAGCAGAGACAGCCTACACCGGAGCCTCAGCTGGGGAGCCGATTCCTGCCCAGAGCAGGGGTCCCTCAGCCTCCGGACAAACAGCCCTGGCACACTGTCCGTGCTGCAGACCGACGGCACGGACACAGCCCCGGCCACGCGGCACCTCGCACGCGACTAACCAGCCCAACGCCTGCCCAAAGCCACAAACCAGCAGAACTTCTCTCAGGGATATTTGTGGCATTTAACTTCCCCTCCTCCTCCTTTTTTTAACCCCTCCTCTCCCTAAAGAAAACGCTGGGCCTTAGTTTAGCTGCTCTATGCCCTGAGGTTCAAAAGCCTGCACCGTCAGCGCTCCGCTTTGGGCCCAGCTGCCGGGAAACATCAACAGCCTCTGGGAAAAACCCCCGTCCCCAGCATTCGGATTCTTATCCGCCCTCGTCCCCACCACTCACGTGTAACGGGTGAAAGCGCTCGACTCGGTGTCGGTTTGGAGTATCTTGTCCCCCAGCATCCAGTCGTGGCCGCTGATGCGTGAGGCGCAGTCACGTTGCAGGTGAGGATCAGCTCGCCAGAAGTGGTCAGTAACTCCGCTCTGACGTCCGGACCTGCCGCGTAACGAGTTGGGCTGAAGTTAACGTGGGTATTCCGGGGAGGGTCACGCGCCCGCCCAAGCAGCTTTCACACCAAGAGTCACCAAACCCACCGCTCCTCGTCTCTACCACTTACCTCCGCAGCCAGGTTCCTACCCGACCTCACGATGCCGGCTTAGGAGAGTCGAAAAGAGGCAACTGGGGCCCGA